CCTGGCCTGGACTTGAAACTGCAGTTCTCCCGCTTTGTTCACCGAAGTAGCTAGGTTAACAGGTTATAGCATCATACCTGGCTTTTATTTTTGATCAACAAATAATGACAATATTGTAGTGCACAATATATTTCGATATCTTCCTCCATCCTTTTTTCAGAGTTATTTTGTCTTTGAGTGTTAGGTATGTCCCTTATAGGCAGCTTATGTTGTTGGATCGCGCTTTTTTAAAAACATTCAATCTTACGCAGGCGCGGGGGTTTGGGGTTCAATCCCTGGCGTGCTGTGCCAGCCCCACCCCTGGGGAGCACTGGGAGGGCAACTGAGACTAGGCATGGGGGCATGTGCCTGTAATCCAGGGCTTGGGAGGCTGAAGACAGGAGGATCGCTAGGAGTCCCGTCTGTGTAGTGAGCCCCTGTAGACACTGTACTAAATACATACAAAAATTCAATCTTTGCATTTGTATTAGTGCTTTAGTCCATTTGACTTTAATGTAATTTCTTATAAAATGCGATATACATCGACAGGTTTGCTGCTTGTTTTCTGTACGTCTTCTATTTTTTTATGCTGGTCTGTAGCCCCACTACTTCTTCCTTTTACTTAAAATAGATACTATCCTCATATAAATTTTCTTTGTTATTTACACCTTTTGGCCAATTTCTTTGTGATCCTGATGATTACAAATAACATTTTAATTTATAACAATTTGGCCTAGGTAAGTATCAACTTAATTTCCAGAGTCCAGTGAAATTTGATTCCTGTGCAGCCACCAGAAAGTCTGTATCTGGCCCCTCCAAGACTTTTTAAAAATTCATTTGAGGCAGGGCCTTGCTCTGTAATTCAGGATGGTCTTGAACTATGTAGCCCAGGTTTGTCTCAAACTTGCAGAGATCTTCCTGCCTCAGCCTTGCAGATGCTGGGATTATGGGCATGTACCACCATGCCTGACTCAAAAGAGACTCCTTAAAGGTACCCAAGAGGAAGTGCTCCTAGGGAAAATGATGGAAGCTGCAAAGTCTTTTGCGACTTCACTGCAGAGCTAATACAGCCTCACTTCTGCTGGATTCCTTTTGTAGCAGCTTCAGGTTACCATAGATTCAGGGTAGACCATATAGAACAATGTTGTCTATGGATAGATTTCTAAATTGCTGTGTAAAAATTTGTAATTGTTTATTTCTATTATTTTTACTATTTTTTAATTTTTAAATTTTTTCACATTCTGTAGGGATTTAAAGTTAAGTGTATCAACAATTGATGGAAAATCCTGTTCCATGTTATGTCTAAGGGATTTGATATTCAGACAGATAATGATGTTAAGCTCAACAGCCTATGTTTTAGGGTAATAATATCATTAAGCTTCTCTTCTGGAGAGTTAACAACTTAAGTTTGCAGACCAAAAAATTAGAGAAAAAGAAGGGCTACGAGGATAGCCAACACTGTGGCCCTAGCCCTTCAAGGTCAGTGAGGATTCAGGACACAGGAGAACTGTACTGTAACATCCTGTAACTCAGCGGTGTCCCAAATTTTCTGATCAAGGAGATTATGGGGCCACAGAGGAAAGCGATTGATGATGTATAATGTGCCTAAGGAGAGTCAACTAGAGAGAAAACATACTCTTGGGCTTTCACAGAGAGCAAATTGGTCAAGCAATGGCCGTGACTCATCCACATGGCTGACACTGACAAAGGATCTACAAACTGAGGTACAGGATCTCAGGATAAATCCTGAGGGGATTTGACTGACCTTATCAGACCCAAAAGCTACAACTTTTGTTGCATAGCTCTTGCTTTGTCTTGGTCTTAACCATCCAGCAGAAAAGTATAAAAACGAGATATAAAAAATAAAGCCATTCTCTTAATGAATAGAATGATTTTTTCTAATGGTGTTTGTAAGTAGGATCACAAGTCTGCATCTTGTACAGCAATTAACCACTAAGAAGAATATATGCAGTGTATTATTTGTTGAAACTGTACTTTCAATTTGATTTGAAACTGTCTCATTGCTATATGTTTATCAATAAAACTTTGAAAAGAAAAAAAAATAAAAATAAAAAAAAATAAAGCCATATTAATATGCTGAGCTGTAAAAGGCTCAAGTCAACAACTTCTGACATTGCCAAGCCTATGGATAATCCACTAATATTATAGACTACTGGAATACATTGGATTACTTTGCTGAATTCATGCACCTACAATATTTGAATGGCAATGGAATAACCATCTCTGACAAAAGTAAACAAAAAACAGGTAAATAAATGATGGACCATTTTGTAGTGAATATCTATCTATCTACCTATCTATATCTATCTATCTATCTATCTATCTATCTATCTATCTATCTATCTATCAATATCTGTATATACAAAATAGTTAGCATAGATATACAGCTCTGTTATCTTAGTTCAATGAGAAGGAAAATTTGTACTAATAATGTTTAGACAAGATATCATGTCTGCATCTTGTGCTATGAATAACCACTATGAAGACAACAATATGCCATGTATTAATTATTGTAATTGTCTTTCTAGTCTGTTTTGAAACTGTCTCATTGCTATTTATTTATCAGTAAAATTAATATAAAAAAAGAACTTACCTCTTGATGGAAAGACAGGCAAATAATTTGCAGGCATGGCAGAAAAACTGTTATAACAGGTAGATAAATCAAGACATGGATATTGTGCCAAGGTCATTTGTTTGGTAAACATAGCATTTCTCAGTGTTAATTATAATATTCCTTTACTTGAATGTAAAAGAACTGAGAGAAGAATTACAGATTTTCTCCTCTCTTATCACTTCCCGTGGTGTATATGTGTGGAGTGGGGGAAGCACCATGCAAGTCCCATCTTAGGAAGAGAGATGTCACTTTTCCCAGGACCGAGTGTGCTGCCTTCAGAGATAAGGCAGCGCAAGGGTTTCCTTCCATTCCAGACTGAGGTGAGAGGTTTCTTTTTTCTTTGCTGCTTGCTATCCACTGTCCCATCTTCACAGGAAGGAAATCTAGTTGTAAAGAGGTAACTGAAGAAATACCACAGAATACTGCCTATTTGAAAGGAGGGCTAAATAGGCCTCTTCCAGGGCCAACAGATACAGCCTGGTTTTCAGAGACTACCTCAATTAAACATTTTCAAAATCATCTTCAGTAATTTATAAATGCACATTTTTTTTACTAGGTGATAAAGACATTACTAAATGTAAATAAGTAAAATAAATGAAATGTTTTATAATGCTTTTATGTCTTAAGAGCCTTATAAAATAAAAAATTGGGTTTTTCTAGATCTCTGGCAATGTAAGCTAGAAAACTTGATAGAAGCTATTTGATGTATCCACCACTCCATAAACTATGTCACAAGATTCCTTTTCTCCCTCTCCCCAAATCACAGTGGATAAAGTTCCAGAATAAGGGGATGAAAAATCTGATTATCAATGCCTAGGACAGACTAAGATAAGTTTTCACCCCGTCCCATTGCACACAAGCTACAGAGGACCAGAAAAGAAGCTGGAGCTGGGCCTGGGCTTGAACTTGTGCTCTGGGCATTTGTGAGAACATTGAATTCAGGAGGCCAGAACTGAGGGGCTTGTTGGAATAAGGCACATGTCATAATCAGGATCTGCCCAATCTGGTCCCTTTCGGAATGCCATGGAGACATAGGTGCAAAGGGCCAAAGAGCAACCTTTCTGTTCCTCCACCTAGTAGTGAGCCACCCAAGACAGTCCCACATGTTTTGCCTATTTCCCTACAACATTATACAACAGGCCCTGAAGACTCAAGATGAGGGTTGCAAAAACCTTAAAGGGACTGCTAGGTGTTCTCTGGGCTCAAGAGGAGGAAGGAAAGGCAGTCAGGGGATCCCCAGAAGGAACATACTCAGCCTGGTTGGACAGGCAGGACTTCTATCTCCTTTAGTCTCCTGTGCTCCCCAGTAGCATCAAAATTAACACCTATTAACAAGTTTTATAGAACATTCATAGAACACACAAAAAAAGAAAAAGACCTCTTGCCAAGGAAAGGGAGAATACCTAAGTGCAAGAATGTACTCATGGGGCCGGTGAGATAGCTCAGCGGACTAAGTACCTTCTTTGGCAAGCACAGAGACCAGGGTTAGATCCCCAGTCCCGCATGCCACACCGGCCCCACCCCCAGGGCACATTGAGCTGGTGACTGAGTCTGGGCATGGTGGAACACGCCTGTAATCCCAGTGCTGCAGAGGCCGAAAACAGGAGGATTGCTATGAATCCAAGCTGCATAGCGAGACCCTGTACCAAATACATAAATGAAAATCAAACAAACAAACAAAAAGAAAAAAAGAATGTACTTATGTATGGGCAGCAATCTAATCTCTATTTCACTGCCCCTCTATAAGAATAATCCTAAAGAATTCAAGTAATTGCAAGGTCAAAGATATATCAATTTGTGTCCACAAATGATCCCTTAGTTTTTAGTCTCTAGGAAACCTACAAAATTTTAATGAATATGCCTTTTTAAACAACTTAAATGGGTTATAGAAGTAGAAATAAATAAAACTTATTTTCTAATTACAATGCAACAAAACTAAAAAATTAAAAGGAAAATGGCAATACTGCACAGCTCATAAGTCAAAGAGGAATTATAATGCAACTAAAATAATTTTGAAATCAATAAGATTACAGATAAAAATTATGAAATACTTTCAAAGTCATACTTAGAAAAAAGTCATTAGCTTTTAAATGCCTGTATCATTAAAAACAATGACAATAGAATATGCTTGGTATTTAATGAAAGCCTATACTATGCAGGGCATGAAAACATCTATTTCATTTAATCTTCATAGTACTTATAAATTGTGTACTGGTTTTTGCCCTTCACAGTAGATATGAGATTCATACTGTATATGCCCTAGTTAGGTAGATCCATGCAATATAGTTACGTAATGTTTTCAAGAAATATTTCACGTTTCTTTATTCAATGCCACATATATTTATTAATGTTTATTATATACAGGGCACTGTAACAAAGAGATGAGTATGAGACATTCTGTCTTGTAAAAATCTAATCACATTTGTTCATAATATAGATGAGAGGTTGCAGCTATTACAATGATTGTAGCTAACTTCATAAGCTAAAATTATCAGTATTAAATGCTACAAACAATGCAATCAGTGTACTAATGGTTGCAGACAGACAAGTGATTCCAAGTTGGAGGAGGGACAGAAGTCAAATGTGGTTTGTTGCCACTGTGCAGGGAAGCATCTCTTAAGCTGTTCAATTACTTAATGCAAGAGAACCAGGAATAACATACACATTTCCATTTTATTAAAACATTGTATAAATACATTGCAGTTGGGCACATCCATTCTAAGGCACTGTTCTGGTTTGAATGCAATTCCACAAGAGAAAAGAGAAGCCATTACATTCGGTATTTTTCATCTCCACATTCATACTCCTCTCATGTTACATGTTTATTGCTACTGGGAGCTCAATTTTAACCCCAAATGTATAGCAGCATCATACAGGGACCTGGATGTCAAGAGTTAAGACACATCCTGGCTCTGGCACTTGATATGATTTGGCACTTAATTAGAAACTCTCTTGCATTGTTCTCCATGTGTTTCCCAACTCTTGTTTATAACTAAAGATATTATAAACTCTTTTATGAGCCTGACCCATGAACTGTATTTCTTTACTAGCTTCTGTTAAGCCTAGAACAGGACTAGTTAGGCACATAGCAGACACTCCCCAATGCTTTGATATCAGTTGCAAGCAATTCAATGCAATAGAAGAGATATACTTCCCTAGTCCTAGTTAAGGAAAGGATGATTGGATTGGATAGCTTCATAAAAGAGAAATACTTGACTGTCTTATTTTTTGTATGTTCATAACAAGGAACTAGGCGCAATAAATATGTTCACATACTAACTGATAATGAGACTTCTTCCCTCATGTGGGAATTTGAGTTGCTGCCAGGATTATATAAAAACGTTTACATAAGTAACAACTGGGTGGGTGTACATAATTGTAAGTAAAATTCAAAAAGGGTGATAATCACTGGCAACTTTTTCATTTGCCTGAATTTGTGATCCTCACCTTGACATGGTGTGTATCTGTATATGTATGTGTGTATGTGTGTGTACTTATAATGAAAGTTAAGAGGTCAAGAATCACTGAACAATTCATAAATGATATAAATCAGTGATCCTCACCTCCTTGAAATGATACATGATTATATTATACAAAAGATGTGTATCTTTAAAAAATTTTATAATACCCTTAAAACAACCGGAGATAACTATCTTGGGAGGAACAGAAGTATATTGATAGTTACAGAAATATTTGTTTAAGGCAGTGTGTTCCAAGGGACATTTGCAGAATAATAGTTTTGTCAGCTATTATTGGATGAACATGAAAAAGGGTGTACTGGGTCCAAGTACATCTGGAAAACGCTGAGCCAAAAGAGGTGCTTTCTCCTCCTTTACTGGCAGACCTCTCCCCAAGTCTCACAAGCTAGTGTGCATTATGAATCCAGGAAGGGGAAACAGCAGGAAGCAACTGGCAAACTTACTTGTAGAATATCTTCCAGAAATAAGTGTTCTATGACACATTCTTAGGAAGATAATGAATGAAAGAATGGGTAAGATTTCAAAAGCCCTGAAAGATGCATGCAAAATACCAAAGCAAAGCAAAAAGCCATGGATACTGGTTCTTCAGTTCAGTCAATCTCAGTCAACTAGTAATCTACCTGGACAATTTCAACAGTGAAGTGGGTTCTTTACTTTTTGTAGTAATGGGGCTCAAAGCCAGGGCCTTCCCCAACCCTTTTCTGATTTTTTATTTCGACACAAGTTATCGGAAGTCATTAATTTGCTCAGGGGGGACTTGAACATGCTATCCTCCTGCTTCAGTCTCCCAGAGTGCTGGGATTACAGGTGTGCAACATCACCCGTGGCTTCAAGTGGACTGTTGCAGACCTAGAGCTTTTATCACCAAGTGAATACTCTCCCTCTATGCACCATCACCAAAGACTTCCAAATAAGCAGATCAGCAAACTACAAAAATCAGAAGTAAAGTCTAAAATCTTAATTTTCTTAAAAAAGAAATATTTTAATGGAAATAACCCAGTTTTCACCAGGTAAATACTACCCCTCCATCCTTGTGCTCCTGACATGATTTTGCTGTTTGACAAAATTCACTGTCTCTCTTCTTGCCACCTTGGCACATCTAAGGCTTCAATTCACTTTTAATAATTATACAGCAGAATATGTCTCGTACTGCTACAATAGATACATCCCATGGGCATGGTTATCCACCATATCGATCCTACCTCTATTTCTGCTTTATGCTTCTATGTATGATGTGGCTGTCTTGCAACACAAAATTTCCCATTTTAATTAAAAACACAGTTGTGGAGACAAGAGAAATCAATTTAGGAAAGCTGCTACTGTAAGTGGCTATTTTAGAGCTCATGCCTACAGCTTGTATATCTAGAGCTCAAATGCCCAGAGCTCATGTCTGGAGCTCAGACAGATTTTAAAATTAGCCCCTCTACCTTTTGTAAAGAAAGGTTGAAATATATCAACACTTCTAATGCTCTCTGCAGTTTTTGATTCTCAAAATAAAAATGCTAATAAAACCCAGTCCCCACCCCCCCCCAAAAAAAGCTATTCTCATGAGTCCAAACAAAAATATCCTTCCACACAAAAGGATTCTACATGTTACAATGTTTTTGAGTTAGTGTTAGTTTCTGTAGGACCTGTCTCCCTCAACAATTCCTAAAGAAGTCCTCTGAAATGAGTGACCTGGTGCATAATAAGGCCTGCTCTCTGTCTGAAGCTTTTAGAACAATGACTACACTTGTATGGCTTCTCCCCTGTATGGATTCTTAAGTGGATAACAAGACTTGGCCTCTGCCTAAAGCTTTTCCCACAGTAATTACATTTAAAAGGTCTCTCTTCAGTATGTGTTCTCTGGTGCAAAGTAAGAGCGGTCAGTCTACTAAAACTTTTCCCACAATTATGACATCTATGAGGTTTTTCACCTGTGTGTGTTTTCAGATGTCTTTTAAGACTTGATCCATGACAAAAACTTTTCCCACATTCAAGGCATTTATATGTTTCTTCTTCGGAATGAGTTCTCTGGTGCCCAATGAGGTGTGAGCGTCGCGTGAATCGCTTTTTACACACAGTGCATTCATAAGGTCTCTCTCCTGTGTGAAGTCGTTGGTGTCTATAAAGGTCTGAACTACGAAGGAATCTTTTTCCACATTCAGGGCATTTGTGAGGTTCTTCTCCTGAATGAATTCTCTGGTGCCCAGTAAGTTGTGACTTCCGAGCAAAACATTTTCCACACTGAGGACATCGGTGAGGTTTCTCTCCTGGATTCTTTTTCTTTTGGGGCCTAGGATTGAGAGGTTCTTCTAAGCTGGTACTCTCAGGTGTCTCCCCTAGAGTGGGGTTTTGGTGATCCACAAGTTTTGTTAAATCTGTCTGTAAATCCTCTGGTGGAGGCTCCCACTGATTTTCTAATGGAACAAAGTCTTTTTGCATCACAGGACCATGGAGAGAATTCTCCTCTAAAGTTACAATAAATGGATATATATTCTCCAGTTTTTTCTGTTTTGAAGCATCTTCTTCATTCCCTATCCCCATCTCAAAACCTGAGAAAAGAAATAAAAATTGAAGATGTCAATTGTATTCTAAGAGAAAAATAAATGAAGGAAAACCAAGAGTCATATTAGACCACTAGCAGGAATACAGAAATTCCTAAATGGAATACCAAGCCCTTCACAAGATTATGGTTTTTCGGTTCTTTCTTCCCCCACTTGTCAATGAACAAGTAATTACCAATCTTGGAGTCGAGTAACTGTTTCATTTCTTTGGAATCCTGCAAGTCCTTCACCCACGACTCTTCTCGGTGCTCCAGTGGGAAGTTCACGTCAAGCTTTGGCAGTGGAAATCCTGGTGAGAGGAGAGATGAGAAGCAGAATAGTTCAGTTCATTCAAGGCTTTTCCAGAATTTAGGCTGATTTCTTGGACACAGGCCCCTTCATGCACATCTCCTCCTCAGTTACTATGATTTCATCTGGAGTCACTTATAAGAGATTTTTTTAAAGATAAGAAGAAAGCAAAAATGAAGAAAACATCCTTTTGTGCTCACTTCAATGCTGCTCTCCAATCTATGGATGGTGAGAGATTAATTGTGTGCTGAAATCAATGTGCTAAATTACTTACACATCTATTCTGATAATAGATCTACTTAGCTTAGAGCTAAAATGATGTAAATCTTTAAAATTTTTGTATTCTAAGCCTGGGAAATACTGTTGAATGCTGAGTGAAGCTAGAAAGGTAAAAGTAGGAGGTGATGAACTGTTTAATGGCGTAAGTTCAATTAAGACTGTCAAATTAAAGTGGAACTTGAACTGGGCTGACAGCCAAGAAAAGTAGGCATTGTTTCAGTTGATGTCCACAAGTGAGGGCCAGCCAAATCGCTCAGTGGATTAAAGTGCCTGCAAGCAGGCAAAAGGGTCAGAGGTTCGATCCCCGGGCCTGCCATGCTGGCTCCCTATGGGGCACACTGAGCCAGCGATTGAGACTGGGTATGGTAGTGCACGCCTGTAATCCCAGCAATTGGGAGACTATAAACAGGAGAATCACTACAAGCCTGATCTAGTAGTGAGACCCTGAACACCCTGTAGACCCTTCCCTAAAATTAAAAAAAAAAATCCACAAGTGGATTTTCTTAAAATTACATCAATTAATGATTAAAATGTGCTTCTAACAGTCAATCTAAGGACATGACATAGAGGTAAAGTTTCTGCCCCTTGCTCTCCTGTGTCTCAATGTTACTCCCACCCCATCCTCACTGATGGCCACTGTGGATAACATCCTGTTCTCCATGCTCTTCTCCACCTTCCTCATCTCTGGTAGAGTATACTGCTTTGCAGTGAAATGTGGGTTGGAAATGGCCAATCTGAGATGTAAATGTGGGGTGATTTTTATATATCAGCATTATTAAGATAGCATGAGCAAATTAGTTTAGCTAATATTAATCCAAAGGAAAATTTACATTTCTAAGCATTGTAGCTAGACATAGGAAGTGGACTAAAATATCTTATTTATTTGTTCTATGGGGTAAAGACTGTGTATATCCTTTTTAAGATTAGGAAACACAAAGATGGATTTCAGACAAATGCTGTTTAAATTTCCTATTTTTTTTTGTTTGGATTAGACTAAACGGTAATATGGAGTAAGTCAAATAATTGTGGGACATAAATCAAAGTAAAGCTGTTGTGCAATAAAGGGGGAACAAAGTGAATAGAAAAGGTATAGGTGTAAAATATTATGATTTATATCCAGCTGTAGAGAGGACATTAGAGATATTAGAGATGGACTCCTAGCAGGACACTGTAATGACCTCTGTAGACCCATCTCTCAGTGAAACTCGTAATAACTTTTAAAAGTAAAAAATACAACATATAAAGTCTTTCCAAGTGATCTTGAGATAAGCAAACAAAATAAGGACTAACTCTTCCACTTTCAACAGCAAGGGGGACAGTGTGATCTGACTGATAACTATCTTGCTCCAGCTGTCCTCCCCAAGTGGCCTGGTGCCACTGACCTTACTGTCTTTGTCACCTCTGCTGCTGCTTTATCATCTGCCCTCTAGGACATGCTGACAGAAGCCAAGTCTCCTCTGACAGCTATGATGTCTCTCCCTGATGCCCAACTGCTGCTACTGACTCTCTGAGGAGCAGTAGAAAATAGCACCGGACAGCACAAAGATCAGGGAGAAATCGGACCCACTGCTGATATCCCTGGCATCCCCAAGCTCCACAGGCCCTTAGTTTATGTGGTCACACCTCCTGGAGATGCCCTGAAAGCAGTGGCAGTACTGGTGTTAGTCCCACCACTTCAGGGAAATATGAGAGCTATCAATCAAGCAGCCAATTCCCATGAAGTTTGAAAGATCTGAGACTGCCCCACAGCCACCTAGGGAGATATCTGCCTTGGCCAAGCAGGCCTGAACCTATCCCAGATAACGTTGTCCCATAACATTCAGATGAGCCCCACTTCCCACTACTACTACAAAAGTCATGGACTGTGAAATGCCAAAAACAATGCATGTATAGCCTGTTCCACCTCTACATACGCAGCACTCTCTTACACTTCTTGGGTCAGTTTACGAGGGCTCCCTGCTGTGCACTAGCCCTTCTCCTGCAGCACAAGTCCCAGGAAAGCCTTGCTTGAGGAGATCTATGATTCATATCTTGGATGAAGAAGAATAAGCAGGTTGCAATAAAAAGTATTTGTAATACCGGGGGCTATTAGCCTGAAATAGCTCTAGAACACAGCAGAGCAGTGAAGAGCAAAAACTGATGGGAATCAGTGGTGACTATAGTAAACTGTGGAGACTAGTGGAAAGGCAATGGATGCTGTTGGAAGAGCTGGAGAAGCAGCCAGGGGTCTATTAGACTTGGCTCCTGGGTTGCTGATAAGGGTGGCAGGAGCCACCAAGAGCTATAACATCAAGAGCTAAGAGGCACTGGTATTGAAATCTCAGAGCTATGACCCTAAAGGGTGAGAGCCCCTGGCAGTCAAAGCCTAGAATTGCTAACATCAAGTAAAGTTTGTTATTGCTCTCTGAATTAGGTAAAAAGACCCTTAGCCAACTGGTGACGACCTAAGAGCACAAAGCAAATGAAGAAAGTCTTGAGAAAGGCTATTAAAATTCTTTGAGGAAAATGTGAATTTGCGGTATCTGAATCCCACTCTCAGTTCCTTATCTTACTTTCAGTTCCTTCCACCACAGAATGGTGGAGCAAAGAGTCCTGGATGCCCTCTTTCCCACAGCTACATGCAGGGGAATCTCTGCAGGGACTTTCACTAAAATATATGCAAGTTGGTGCACTTAATGTCTCCTTGCTTTGCCCTGAAACCCCATTCACATTTCACTTTTGGCCATGTCCTTATGACAACATAATTTGCAATGATTTGTCTAAGTTCACTAATTCTCTCTTCTGATGGTTCACATCTACCTTTGAACCACTTTAGTGAGTTCTTTTTCACTACGGTTTGCTACAGTTTGGATTCACAATGTCCCTTCCAGGGCCATGTGCTAAATGCTTGTTCCCTGCTGGACACTACAGGGAGGTAGTAAAAACTTTAAGACACGGGACCTGGTGAGGGGCCTCAGGTAATTAGGGGGATGCCCTTGAAGATGACTGTGGGACCCCAATCCCTTTCTCTTTCTCTTTCATTCATGGCTATAAGATGAATGGCTTTGTCCCACCATGTACTCTTTACCCTCGTGTTCTGCCAAAATCCAAAGGGGCTGGCCACTCTACCCCTCCAGAGCTACGAGCCAAAATAAAACCTTTCTTATAAATGGATTATCTCAAGTATTTGTTATGTTACTGGAAATCTGACTGACAGTCATTAGATCTTTCAACTCTAAAATTACCATTTGATTTAATAATTTCTGCTTATAGATATTCTCTAAAGTGATGCTGTCATAACTGTTTCTTACTTTTTGATCATGTTTTCCTCAAGTTCTTGAAACTTATTAATAATGGCAACTTCTAAGGCTTTGATAAATCTCTAGTAAAACATATGAGCAGATTCTCTCTCTCTCTCTCTCTCTCTCTCTCTCTCTCTCTCTCTTTTTTTTGGCAGAACCGGAGATTGAACTCAGGCCCTTGCGCTTGCCAAGCAAGCACTTATTCTACTGAGCTATCTCCCCAGCCCCCACATGAGCAGATTCTATTGCCTACTTTTTTTTACCTAAATAATATAGATCATACTTTCCTGTTCCATGTATGTCTCACAATTTTCTTGGAAGCTGGGCATTTTAAATAATATATTGCAGCAACTCTGTGTCATTCCCTCAGGACTTTGCACTGTTATTTGTTTGTTTACTGAATGGCTGGACAATTTTAGTGAAGTCTCCTCTCTACAATCCTGTTACTAAGAAATGTTAATCTGACAATTCTCCTTGGGCAAATCCTTGCATATGCACAGCAGCTCTTGAGTCATAGTCATTTCTACTAAACAGAAAAAAAAATGAAAGATTAATGGTTCCAAACTCTCCAGGTATATTGAAAAAAATTAAACCAATACACAGGAAGTTCAATGAATTCCAAGCAGAATGAGTACAAGTGGATCTGCAAACGTATATCATCAAGGGGATCCACAGACACATCCTAAACATGGAAAGGCCAAGCCTTGAAAGCCAGCAAGCAAGAACTGACTGGTCAGTTACAAGGGAACCTCAATGAAATTAAAAACTGAATTCATATTAGAAGCATATGGAGGATAGGAGGTAGCGAGATGACATAGTAAAAACGATCAGAGACAATAAAAACTGTCAACTAAAAATCTTACATTGGGCAAAGCTATCATTCAAAAATGAATATGCAACAGAGATTTTCCTGAGAAATAAAACTGTGAGAATAAATTGCTAGTAGACTTGAAGTTTCTCATTCTAAATGAAACTTAATGCTTACTTAAAGAAACAGCAAAGGGGCAGCGAGATAGTTCAGCAGACTAAGTGCCTGATTCGGCAAGCACAGGTGACCAGGGTCAGATCCCCAGCACCACATGCCACACTGGCCCCACCCCTGGGCGCACTGAGACAGTAACTGAGTCCGGGCGTGGTGGCTCATGCCAGTAATCCCAGCGTTGGGGAGGCTGAAAATAGGAGGATCACTATGAGTCCAAGCTACGTAGTGAAACCTATACCAAATACGTTAGAAAACCCAATAATAACAAAATAGTAAAAAAAAAAAAAAACCTAGCAAAGATAAAGGTAATTATATAATTAGGAAGGGGAGTTTAACTGAAAGCCTCTGTTTCTTTCCCTGAGGACTTACAAGGGCTGCAACAGAAATGTATGGCTGCCAGGAAGAGCAGATGAGCTAGGTAACAGCAGAGTTGTATGGGACTAAGGAAAGATGGAATTTAGTAACTCAAATCTACAGGAACAAATGAAGAAAATTAAAAATGATATACAGGGCTGGGCAGATAGCTCAGTGGTCTAAGTGCATGCCTGGTAAACGCAAGGACCTGGGTTCGATCCCTAGTACCACATGCCCTGCCAGCCCTGGAACCCTGGGTACACGATGCAGGCTGGGAAACCAGGCACAGTGGTACAAGACTGTAATCCCAGTGCTGGGGAGGCTGAGACAGGAGGATCACTAAGTCTGAGCTATGTAGTGAGACTCTGCACCAAATAAATAAATAAATGCATAAATGATTGTTTTTTTTAAAAGAAATGATAGTGTTAATATAATAAAAGTTGGAATAGATCTTTTGTAGATGGGAAGGGGGTCTACGGATGGAGGGAGAGGGGAGAGAGAAGGTGAAGGAAAGTAATAAGGACTGATATGAAGCATATATGTACCAACTCTAGATGCTGACTGTATTTAAGTACTGCAAACATATGCTGACAAAATAAATTTAAGAACATAAAAACCTATACAAAGAAAATATAAACAAAACAATACTATATGTGTGCGTATTTCCTTTCTCTTCTTAGGTTCCATAAAAAGCTTAAAATTTTACAAAGTACTAACTATAAAACTGGTTATAGTATTTTCTTTTATCTTTTTGAGACAAGGTCTCATTATGCGGTTCATGCTGACACTGACTTCACTTTGTAGCTCAGCATGGTCTTGAACTCACAAGGATCCTCCTGCCTCAGCCTTCTGAGTGCTGAGATTATAGTAGGCACATGCCACCACGCTTGGCTGTTATATTTTTGATAAATATTATAGCACTATCACAAAAAGGAATAAACGGGTATAGAGCTATATAAAACATATATTTTTGTATCTCACTGGTATTGTTACTATATCTTGGGAGCTGATTTTAAGTTCAGATATTCATTGAAAAACCATAGATCAACAACTAAGGAAGTAAATTTACAAATTACAAAAATTCACTAATGTAAAACATTAGAAATATTTACATAATGCAAAAGAAAGCAATAGAAAGATCAAAGGAACAAAAAGGACATGAAACACAGAAGTAGTAAAATGGCAGATGTAAATCCAACCACATTAAAAAAGATTAAATGAATGGATTAAGCAATTCAATGAAAAGGCAGAGAACCTTAGACAGGACTTTTTTTTTTTTTTT